AGTATAGCACAACAACTCTTGATAATCTCCTACCTCTTTTGTCTCTAACTATTATTTGTCTATTTGTTTTCCTGAGAAACTATTTTGTAGATAATAATATGTAAAACGATAACCATTGATAATTTCCTACCATTTTCTCTGTAATTTGCTAAGTCCCCCCTATTATTATGTTATCCTTCTTTTATTCTTTAAAAAAAACAAAAACAAAACAAAACAAAAAAAACACCACAACTGTTCCAAGATGAGAATATATTATCCTGTAATTTGAAAGATCATTACTTTTCCTCATTAAAATAACTGTTAATACCATAACAACTTACCATATTTAGTAACTCAGGGCCCTTGACAGATATAAAATTTAGTCCAGACTCATTTGCCACAGCCTAGCAAGATGAAACACAGACACGTAAGACAAATATATAACAAAGTAATACCAGAAGTTTTAAATCCTTTTCTCCTATGTTATATAGTTATTTGTTCTTTCTAGAAGGAAAAGAGATAAAGGAGAAATAAAAAGTCAAAGGAAGCAGATGTTGGCCTATAACTGCTAAGAAAGGCATCAAATCAAATGGGAATAACAAAATATTTATGTAAGTATTTTATTTATAAAAGCATGCTTTACATCACTGTACATACATTTGTAACTCTAGCCTGGGATTCCAATGAGACACGACTATCTGCTAAAGAAATGCTTTGTGCAATGAACGTAATCATTTGTTTATCTACAAACCAAAATTCCAAAACATCATCATCAGTTTACCAAGGGTCCACAGTGAGAAACAAGTAAGTTTAGAGGAGTTTAAGAACTATAATCTGCATGCAGAGATGAAACCTAAATAAAATCTGAGAATTTAAAAATAACCAGAGTAGGAGCTAGGGATGCAGCTCACTGGTAGAGCACTTGGTCAGGATGTGTGGAACCCTGAGTTTGATCCCCAGCACTACAAAAAAATAACTATAAATACAGTAACAAAACCCAACGGGACAGAATCCTTTCTGTTCCCAGAACCTGTTATCTCAGCTCCAGCTCAACACAGCCTGTGCCACTCTACCTATGTGGACTGCACAGGTATTCAAAGCTATTTTTTACCAACAGGACTCCTGGCTCACTCTCCCAGTTCCCTCTGGCCCCAGACCCATTTGTTCCACCTCACTGGGTACATGTGGTTTCCGGACCAACCTCAGTGTCTCTTTGCCTGGTCCTGTTGCCCCACTGTTATTCAGTCCTAATGCTCACACACAGGTGGGTCTGATACCTTTTCGATTTCTCCTATACACCACCACTTTCTTTCTTTTTTTTTTTGTCCTTTTGAGACAGGGTCTCACTATGCAGTTCAGGCTGGCCTTGAGTTCACTTTGTAGCCCAGGCTGGTCTCAAACTCACAATGATCCTCCTGCCTCAGTCTCCTGAGTACTGGGATCACAGGCCAGCACCACCACACCTGGTGGTACACCACCACTTTCATCCAGACTACAATCCTCTTTTGCCTGGACAGAAAAAAAGCCCTTAATGGGTTTCCTTCCACTCCTGCTCTCTCCCAAATGATTCTCGACACATTGGTCAGTGCACGCCTTGAAAAATGCAAAGCAGATCCCTTGTTGCACCACACGTCCTATCTATCCTCAGGTGCCATGTGACGTGTCCACCATGGTTCACAACACCTTGGGACAGACACTTCCTCCTCAGTCCGATGCAGGCTCCTTCTCTGGTTCTCAAACTCCCTTGGCGCTTCCCACCTCAGGGTTTTCTTTTCTTTTTTTACACAGGTTAATGGGTTTCTTTTTGGCAGATCTTCACATCCACGTAACATGTGACCATTTTCATGCCCCTAGACTCTTGCCTCATATTCCTTCCCAGTTTCCCAGGGGTGTGGAGGGGCTACTGTGTGTAATATACAACCCCAAGGCCTCCCTAAGTGCTCTTCCCTCCACCTTCTTTCCCTGCTCCTTTATGGGGCTGGCTGGTCCTCCAAGACTATTTGGATGTCACCATCCTGTAAACATCACTCCCAAAGAAGCCATCTCCCAACTGGTTGATCAAAGCACTCTTTCTATCAGAACTCAGCCAAATCTACAATTTTACCATTTGACTTGTTTACTCTTGCTCTCTTCCAAACAGAGAATTTCAACAGAGGCGCACCTTCTTCACTAGTTTACCCTTAGCACCTCAATGTCTGGCAAAGAAGGGTACAGCAAACGCTGGTGAGACAATGACACGCAGGCATGCTCTGTCCTCTACAAGCTGCTCCATGGAGCCAGCGTGGAGGCGCACACCTGTAATCTAAGCCCTGAAGGAGGACGCTGAGTCAGAGAGATCAGAAGCTTGAGGTTAACCTGGGCTACACAGGGAATTCAAGGCCACCCTGAACATCATCGTAAGACCCCACCTCAGAAAAAGAAACACAAATAAATGTATTATTATGCATACAGTCTTTTTTTTTCCTACTGGGGACTAAATCTAGGGCCTTCAAAACAAGCTGCATTCCCAGCCTCTTTTGGTTTTGTTTTGAGCCAGGGTCTCGACAAATCACTAAGCCACCTGGGCCGTGCAAATTTATGACCCTCCTGCCTCTGCTTCTCAGAGCACTGAGGTTACAGGTGTGGGCTACCATGCTTCGGTATGTATATCATCTTGACATGTATGCACAGAAAATGTCTGGAAGGATTGGTAACAAATGAAACAGTAGTTGGCAGTAGATAGAAATGGGAAAATTTGTAAATGATGCCTTTCTCTTTTGCTTATTTATATTTTCTATGGTGAAAAAGTAATTTAAAAACAACTGTAAGGGAAATACTTAAGTCATAATAATTGTACCAAAGCACGAACCAAGATCAGCTACAAACTACAATGATGTAATAATACCTATTAAAAGCTAGAATACACAGAAATAATTACCATGCTAAAATTGATGGGCTTTTCAACGACTTTTGCTATTTAAAAAGTGGTAATTTTCCTGAACAAAATTGTCATGTAAAACATTTATCTCAGTGTAAAATGTAAATTCATACTATTCTGCCTGAAATTAAAAAATAAAAGAGTTGAACACATACTACACCTTTGCCAGCAGAGTTTTCCCACAGCCAGGAGGACCAGCAAGAAGGACTCCAGCTGGAGTCACCAGCCCAAGAGCCTTGAACTGGTCTGGGTTACGTACTGGAGCCTGGAAAGAACAAGAAATAAAACCTGATCCAGCAGATGCGGCCACATTACACTGCATGCTCACACTTACCTCCAGACACACATTCTCAATACTAGCGGTAATGGCAAATTGTTTCCTGGCAAAGGCTGAACGAGCTCCACTCTACTGTACGCCCCTCTGTCCTCTGTAAGGGAGGGCTTGGGTTCAGGTGATCCCCATCCCCCAACCTTGAGTTGTGACTAATACCTCACTGGAAGAAGACCACACACAGTCCAGTCAGTCTGGACTTACGACCTGGTAAGCACACATGTAACCTCATCTCTGGGCCTTAGGTTCTCGCATAGGCCAATGACATTAGCAGCTGAGGCACTCACCAGTATTGCCATGGTGAGCTCTTCTCTAACATCTTCCAGGGCACCAATATCTGCCCAAGTCACATTAGGAACAGTGACAAAACCTTCTCTTTTGGCAGAGGGTTGGACTGAGGAAAGAGCAACAATGAAGTCATTCAGTTCAATGCACAGTCCTTGCATCTGTTCTTCTGAGAGGGGATCCTGATCTCTTAGCAACCCCAGCAGCCTTTGCAATTCATCCTTAAAGGAAACAATCCAGAGGGAAACATTTAAATCACAAGGTTTGCTTAAAAGTTACAGGTTGGCCAGGCATGGTGGAGCATGCCTGTGATTCTAACACCTGAGAGGCTGAGACAGGAGGATCACTGCAACTAAAGACACGAAAGAAGACTTCCAGAACTGCTTCAGAAAGTGGCAAGAACTACGAAGCAAGGGGATATATTTTGTGTCTGCTGGTATGTTTCACGATTACTTCCTTCACACTTATAATAATAGAGGGTACTACTCTCTTGTCTTTTAATCAGTAGTAATGAAGCTGTGCTCATAAATACCCTAAGTGACTTTTAACCTGTACTGTTTGTTTTTGTGTTCAAGTATGGTGCTTCACTATCTTGAATAATAATCTGAATTGCTTTTTTTATAGGATTAACAATTGTTGATATATTGCCTACTGTTATCTTCAAAGTAGTTGCTCAGATTACAAAATATAGACATGCATAATTGATGAAACTATAGCCACGAGCCGTTTTATTCAATGAACTAAAAGAAGGCAACTGCAGAAAGTACAGCATCACATCTCTGTGGTCCAAAACAAACTTTCTCTCCACTCTTTAAGTTTGTTTTGTGTAGTTTGTTTTTTTGTTTTTGTTTTTCTTCTGGTACCAGGAATCAAACTCACAACGTCACGCTTGCCAGGCAGGCGCTGTGCCGCTGGGCTAAATCTCCAGCCCCCCCACTCTTAAGTTTGTTTTGGACCTCAGAGATGTGATGCTCCACTTTCTACAGTTGCCCTCTGTCCTACTAAGTCTGGAATATGACTAAAATAGACTATGCAGTGAGCTGAGACTATACCTCCTTTTCAGAATAAAAGTTTTGCTTCATAACAAGAAAATAGTATAATTCAATTTAAAACATCATTTTAAAACTCCTGATTTGTTGGCTGTGGTGGTACAAGCCTATAATCCCAGCACTCAGGAGGCTGAGTCTGGAGGATTACCAGGAGTTTGAGGCCAGCCTAGGACACCAAGTGAGTTCAAGGCCTGGCTGAACTACATAGCAAAATCTTGCCTCAAAAAAAGACGACAGCCAACCCGATCAAATCCCACAAGAGGTGTTCTTACGCTTGTGGAATGTATTAAAGGTACTAAAATATATATATATATATTTATTAGCAGAGTTGGTCATGGTGGCACATGCCTGTAATCCCAGCACTTGGGAGGCTGAGTCTGGAGGATTGTTGTGAGTTTAAGACCAGCCTGGGTTACAAAGTGAGCTCAAGGCCAACTGCATGGTGAGACCCTGTCTCAAAATGACCAAAAAAAAAAAAATATATATATATATATATTAGCTATAATAAATAATGCCCCTATACATTTAACTCTTAGGTTTTGTTATTGCCATAGGTTTCAGGTTATATAACAGAGACAAAATGTGGTACTTCTAGCTAGGACTTTTGAAAAAAAAATTCTTTCAATCTGATTAGCTAGTAGGTCAGTAACAACTAACAACTCTAACTCTTGCCTGGTATTCTTGTTGACACTGCCAGATGTGAGGCTAGTATGCCTGGACCAATGAGTAATTGTAGTAAAGGAGTATTCGAAATTAGAGCTATTCAAATTTAATTCCTACTAAATGCTTTCTCAAAACTGGAGAATTATGAGGGATTACAAAGGAAGGTGGGTATAAATAAAGCTAAAGCCTCCATTTTATTTGATTCATGCTTGAGTCATACCTGGTATTCATAAATCAGTCCAGAATTGTAAGGGTAGATGTTGACTTCGATTTATGACCCTGAGGTGGATAAAATACATTTACGACTGAGCTGGTTAAAATACATTTCAGTATAAACTGAACATTAGTTGAGGTGGAGTAGATGTAAAATCTGAGTTTGCCAAGAAGGAAGAGAATCAAGGACAAAACCCTGGAGCAGGTTCAGGTGGATTCAATAGGAGCTTCTCTTAGGAACAAAGCAGGGAGTTTCTAGAAGTACAGTATGTTTGAATTATTGATTGCTCCTTCCAATATAACCTCTCAGCTGGGTGCATCCCTATAATCCCAACATTCAGAAGGCTGAGGCAGGAGGATCACTGTGAGTTCAAGGACAGCCTGGATTGTGAAGTGAGTTTAAGGCCAGCCTGAACTGCAGAGTGAGACCCGGTCTCAAAAAGGAAAAAAAAAAACCAAAAAACCCACAAACCTCTTTTTTTATTATTTTTTATTTTTTAGTCTCTTTGACACAGAGTATAGAGAACCTCTTAATTAGTATAGAGAACCTAGAGTTGATGACCTTCTACTTTGTACTCCTGGGATTATTATTAAGCAAATAATGATAAATTTGCTTATCTTGTAATTTTAGTTCCTTGGGGGAGAGGAAGAAGCTGCTTAATTGTATACAACTATTGAATCAAACTCATGTTGAGACAATGAAGGTAAGAGGAATCTGAGTTTATCATAGTTTTTTTTAAAGTAAAGTGATATGACTCAATCATGTAAAACTCATTTAGAAAAGAGAAGGAAATCTCAGTGATGGGATTATTGGTAAATGGTCTTTTCTAGACTTTCTGCATTTTCTACAATGAGTAAGTGTATTTAAATCAAGATAAACTAAAATATGTTAAGACATATTGAAGCGTATAAGACTACTGCTCAGCTTGTCAGAACTTAACATTTTGCCTAATTTGCTTTAGGTCTATTATTATTATTATTATTTCTGTCTTTTTGAGTCAGGGTCTCGCTATGCAGTTCAGGCTTGAACTCACTTTGTAGCCCAGGCTGATCTCTAACTCACAACGATCCTCCTGCCTCAGCCTCCCAAGTGCTGGGATTATAGGCATGTACCACCATGCCTGGCTTAGGTCTATTATTTTTAGAACAAAATATACTATTGAAGACTTCTTTTATACCTCTTTTGTATTTCTTTTTTCCCAATAATATCACCTTGAATTTGGTGTTTAACATTTTCATTATTTTTTTTTAAAATTTAGTACATATATAATATATTATATATATATTATA